CCACGAATGTTATTGCAACATTTGTTATCAACATTTATGTAACGTTGACGCTGTTGACATTGAAAGCGAAATGACAACATTCTAATGCGAGTTGCATTAGAGGTTCTGTGGAACTTCAAAATGCGACAATTATCTGAATATGCAGTCGACTCCACTTAACATTTATGTAACGTTGACGCTGTTGACATTGAAAGCGAAATGACAACATTCTAATGCGAGTTGCATTAGAGGTTCTGTGGAACTTCAAAATGCGACAATTATCTGAATATGCAGCCGACTCCACTTATTGAGATACTCCCAGAACCAGTTACATTTATTACATTATACCCAGTATTCCTTTCTTCGAAAATACCATTCAGGACCTCTTTCAGCATTTTCGCGGGAAAGCAGATACTTTTATTTTCAAAGCTATTTAAAAATTGCCCTTTGGTTTTGAGAAAAGTTTATTCATCTAGGCATGTTATTCCAATAACATTCATTCATGGGATGTTTTCAGAATGCATCTTACGGCTAAGAAATCTTGACAACACCATACAAACAGCTTGTCAGGAAGAGTAATCGACTGTATATCTAGAATGAAACATTCGGCAGCAAAATTTTGGGCGTTGGGCATGCTCACCCATTCCGCCAGCGTCCTGCCTTTTCCCTGTTGCAACGATATTTGTAGGTGATGACTGGGTATCGGTTCTCAAAAATCATTGAACGCGTCTTCCATCTCTCATCTTCATTTGATGAAACGATCTTGATCAATTCTCGACCTGAGTTTTTTCTGAAATGTAATGGCACAATGTGGAGAATTATGAGAGACAATTTTTATGCAATTCATGTAGGTTCTATAGATTGTTGCTTTGCAAAGGGTTAGTTTAAAATCAATCAAGGTTTTCGCCTGTTTTGCAAAGGAATTTCTTGATGGTACGGAACTAAATAAGTATAGACAATTTTCATACAATTCATGTAGGTTCTATAGATTGTTGCTTTGCAAAGGGTTAGTTTAAAATCAATCAAGGTTTTCGCCTGTTTTGCAAAGGAATTTCTTGATGGTACGGAATTAAATAAGTAACACTCTTAGAGTCTTAGTAACATTCTGTGACCAAATCTTCTCTAGAAGTTTTTGTATATATTTCTTCAGGGATATCAATGAGCGACACAAGAGAAACATGTGCATTTCAGTTCCATCTTCAAAACACAATGGACGAGCAGGTGCAATCTGTGCATTCATTTTGTGCAATGAAAATTCACGTTCGAATGGCAAAAAACGGCTTTTTGCAAAAAGATACTGCTTGAGGAGCGCCTGAGGGCATAAACATTTCCGAAATATTGTTTTCACCTTGAAAACCACACTTGGGTTGCGATTTTCACCGAATTTTCGTTGGTACCCCAAATCTTGTTTTCCCTAGGAAGGGTGCCCATGCATAAGATTATCGTTTTTCCCGTTACAACGGCAAACAACGGCCATTTGAAAAAGATACTGATTTGGGGAGCGCCTGACGGCATAAATATTTCCGAAATATGGTTTTCACCTTCAAAACCACACTTGGGGTGCGATTTTTACCGAATTTTTTAATGTGCCCCGATCTTCGTTTCCTATGAAGGGTGCCCATGAATTACTTGGCCGTTTTTCACCTTCGAACGGGAAAAAACGGCTATTTCGAATGTGTGTTAGTCCTTGTCTGGAAGCTCTATTATGTTCCTGGGAAAAAAAGTATAGTGTGGGTGCATCAGATAAACTATGAGTTTTTTCACGTGAGCGAATCATTGCTCCTTCAGCTAAATAAATTAGGCATTGATGGTACTTGTCTTGTTTTTCTACAACCATAGGTGATGATGGGTCAAGAAGTGTCAAATAATCAATGTCTGATTGAAGGGAACTGAGCTCATTTGAAATGTTTGCCTTCTTCAAAGTAGAATAATGAATTGTAAACATCTTAATCTTAACTTTTGCAAACTCCCACTAATCAGAAGGGGAATTAAATTCAGATCTAGCAAAGTTCACTTCATCCCAAATCAAATTAAACTTTGACCCCATCTTCTAACAGGGAGTTGTTAAAGTGCCAAAAAGCTGAGCCTCTAAAAGAAGAGGATGGAGATTTTCACATTATCACAATTTCTGTGTGAGTGGAGAGAGAGAGGGGGGGAGTTTCTCTTGAAAGCAGTAAGGACTCCAGAATAGGGAGATGAAGATGTACTAGAAACTCCTATCCTACCCCATTGATCAAGATCTATTTTTCCTGGATGAGAAAGGTTTGTTTATTGCAGAAGAACAAGGTTGAAAAGCAGTTGATGTAGCAAAATAAAAGACTGCTGAAATCGATGAGTTCCTAATATTCCATGTGCATTCCAACTACATATGTTCATTTGGCAAGAAATAGGAAAAAAAGAGGAGTAATTCATAGGAAGAACGATTTCGTCCTATACCTACACACGACTACTGCAAGCTTTCTTTAATGTCTGATTCTGTTGCTTTGTTGGATGATTCAAACGCATTCTCCAGTTTTTTCCTAAGGCTTTTCAGCTGGTTTGCTCGTTTTTTTTTATCTTGGTTGTTTTGCAAAGAGCATCAATCATGTGGCACAGGCCTGGGATATTTTCAGTGTATTTCTTGGCAACTTCTTCATGTTTTCTGGAACTTTTTGCCTCAAACAAGAAACGTAAGAATTTGTCAGTTTCAAGAGGTGTGGGAATGTCTGAAACTGAGTGTGTTCTTGTTTCTGCAGGAAGTGTATTTGTGTCAGAAAAATTGTATTGAGATGGAGGATGGTCCTTCACTTTCTTTGTTGTTAATGGTTGAGAAGTGAGAGAAGATGAGCGTTTCCGGTTTGCTACAGATGTTGATGTCAATGACAGCCATTCGGCAGATATGGGTTTGCATTCAAATGTTTGAGGACTCAATTCAACTGTTTCTATAGTTCTGCTTGCGCTTTCCTCTCTTTGTTATGATGTTCATCCATGACCATAAGTTGTTCTCTAAGGTGTTTGATTTCCTTGTGTGCTTCAGATGTTTTATTTTCCACATCACTCTGCTTTTGTTCCAACTGTTGCAATCTTGATCCCATTTCATGTGAGAGCTTGCTTATTACTGCAGTCACATTGTTGTTCACTTGCTTGATTTCGGTTCTAAATGACTTCATCTTCGTTAAGTTCTCGAGTAACTCTTCCATGGATTTTTTTGTCCTATATTTGCAGATAATACACAGCACATTCAGACCTTATATAATCCTTCAAGAGCTTACCCCTTTTTGCCGTTAGGGGGAGAGGCTTAAGCCGACAGCAATGCTTGTAAGGAGTTCGATTGACGGGTTTGTTCCAAGTCCCAGGTCCGGAGGTCCAAGAGGCGGCACTCTTGCTTCACTGTCAACGTGCAGAAGTAGTCTTGGCAAAGTATATATGTCGCCACCACTGCTCGTGATGATGTTCCTACCCTCGAGCTGTAAGCGCAGACTATACTGGTTAATATTTTCCTTCGTCTGAGGACACTTGGTTTGACTCACTTTTCAGAGCGATTCCTTAAAACGCTGTACGAGGTAGCCACCTCATGTGTTCCTATGGTAAGGTCAAGTCTCACCTTATGCACACTTCTCCGATGTTTGTAGAAGTCTGGGTCAGCACTTTTCGGTATGCACGAGAACACGTTCTCACTGCTCGTCGCCATTTTTACCCTCCCTCCAACCTCCTTCCTGTCTCCCTCCTGCCGCATCCATTGAGGGGTTCATTTTATCGATCCAGAATTTTTCCCAGCTCTTAACGTAGAGAGACTCGGCGAGTTTTATACGCTCTATAGGGAAAATGGTGAGGCCGTCGCCATGGTGGTCTTCCGTATTAAAATGTAGACAGATGGGTGTGTTGGGCTTGAGTTTGGCGTAGCGAACGCGTTCCTTGGCGCGATTCTGGAAGGTATGCCCGTTTCACTTACATGCCGGTCACCGTATTCTTTGCAATTAAATAAATGACATCGAAGCCTAAGTATTAGAACGGAAAATTTTTGAAAGAAGCACGATTGACTCTAAAATGAAGCTGCTTCCGAGTGAGTGGGAGGAGTTTGGATGGTTTTCTGGTACGCGCTGGACTCCGGCAGGGTTGTGTTCTCTCACCTCTCCTGGGTCCTTGTGTACATGGACAGGATCTGTAGGAGCAGCCTCGGGCTAGAGGGGGTCAACATCGGTGATGCTGACCCACTCTAAAAGTAAGGATACTTCTCTTCGCCGACGATGCCGTTCTTTTGACCCGCTTTCGACAGGAGCTCCAGAGTCTGCTCGATCGGTTCGACTCCGAATGCACTTCGGCCAGAATGAAACTGAGCGTCTCCAAGACACAGGTCATGGTCCTCTCGAGAAACCCTGCTCGGTACACCCTGCATGTCAGTGGGGTCCCACTGGAACAGGTGGAAAAGTTCAAGTATCTCGGGGTCTGGTTCTCGAGTGACGGGCGACACGGAAACGAGATCGACAACCGCATCTCCAAGGCTTCTGCAGTTCTGCTGGAACTTTGGCGAACCGTGGTTGCCAGATTGGAAGTTTCTCGGGAAGCAAAACTCTCGGTTTTTAAGAGTGTCTCTCTCCCCACCCTCACCTATGCTTATGAACTTTGGGTAATGACCGAAAGCACCATATCGCGGATACAAGCTGCCGAAATGAGGTTCTTGCGTCGAGTGGCTGGCGTGACGCGCCGTGATCGGATGCGGAACTCTGCCATCCGCGAGAGTCTCCACGTCGAGCAGCTGCTTCTNCGCGAGAGTCTCCACGTCGAGCAGCTGCTTCTCCGGATCGAGAGGTCTCAGGCCAGGTGGTTTGGTCACGTCTCTCGCATGCCCCCCGAAAGGCTCCCAAGAGGAGTCTTCCAGGCCGAGATGACCGGCAAAAGACCGGTCGGTAGACCTCGTACAAGGTGGAGTGATTACGTCGCTCGGCTTGGTCACGAGAGGCTCGGCATCCCACCAGCTGAGCTTGAGTCTGTTGCCCAGGATCGAGATCATTGGAGGACGCTCCTGGGGATGCTCGAACCGTGACCCCATTAAATTAGGAAAAGCGGCTTGGAAAATGTATATATGTATGTACGTTTCCGACAATTTCAAGATGTGATTCTCTTGTGCAAGTCAGGCTTTTATTCTTAGATCACAACACCCATATGCGTGTTGTGATTAACATACCTTAATCATAGTCTCAGTGTTAATGTTACACCTATTATATAAACTGAGAAATATATCAGAAAGAGGTAAGTTTGGGGTAAGAGGTACCCTACAGGTTACTAAAGGTAAATTACGGATGAAAAGTAAATGTAAAATGCAGGTAAGACACAGGTGAAAAGAAATAAACAGTAAAACTGATGTAAATCACAGGTAAAAGAGCGGTAAATGAGAGGGAGCTGTAATATATTGAGGTAAAATTGCGCTAAGAAAAAATAGAGGTAAATCACAGCTAAAAAAAAGGGAAATGAGGTTAAATTGGGACAATTAAATTGGGTGAAACTGAGGTAAAAAGAGGGGGAAGTTTCCTGTTATTTTGCCTCAGTTTCACCATTTTAATTTTACCTTAGGTAAGCAAATTTTGTAAGGGATAGACGTAGTTTAATTATGATTATCATCACGCAACAACTGCATACATGGATCTGGCTGATGCAGACTCCCTATTAACATGGCACAATACTGCAGGCGAATGTGCCTAATTACAAGATTGCTCAACTCCCTGGTGGTGATTTTTTTTCCAATGAGAGTATTCAAAGATATAAACAGCCGAAACAACTGAAATCACATGGAAAGGAGCTACTCGCCGCTTATAAGGCAAACAAATATGCTATAAGCATCTCGATTAGTCATAAGGAAACACGAACGAGCTGTACTTTCCAATGAACACCTCGAGCATTGCAAAGTAACTTCGGCTCTTCTGTCACCTATATTTACCTTGGCAGCAATATGAAAAAAGAGGCCTCATAGGTGTGACGTTTCAGTTAAGTAAAGAGGCTTCATTCCCAGGGCCAAGTCACGCACGAGGCACGGCACTTTAAGAGATTCACATAAATAATGTACGAATTCATCCATGGATCTTTCATTCGATAAGGTACGTATGCGCTCGGAAAGTGTGATATTTCCACTTTGAGTGGAGGTATTCCCAACAACGGATCGATACATACGTCCCAGAGATACTTTTCTTTCCTGACCTTTCTCAAATCTGACAGCACAAAACGAGAAAGTGAGGACCGGGATGGCAAATCGTCCTCCATCGAGCACACGTCGCGATTCACGATCACACCGGGAGGAAAACAGAAGGGTGCAAAAATCGTCAACATTTTTTGGGGACCGGAACAACAAGATGAAAACGGTTGAACACAGCACATCACAGCGGGAGGTATCGGAGGGGAATGCTCAATTGGCGACCGGGGCGGAGCTCAAGGCACACTCGTGACGATGAACGCTATGCCAATCCCTCTCCTGCAACAGAGTCGCGGGAATGCATATTTGCTCGCGATCGCAGTACGACTTCGCGACGTCGTGCAGATGGGAAATCTACTCACCTGGCATTCGGCGTTGCAGTACCACCTCTTCTTGCACACCGAACAGATGAACCTGGCGGGCTGCTGGCAGAAACTGCAGGGGTATCTCGGTCTCCCGGATCCTTGAGCGTGCGATTGCACGGGGGCGTGAAACGGCGAGGCGTTCGGCATCGCGCTTCCAGGGACTTGGGGGCGCATCGCGTAGAAACCCAAACCTCGGGAGGCCATCTCGAACTGGGGTAGCATGTATGCTCGAGGGACTTCCGGGTACTTCCTCGCGACAACTGCACTCCACGGGTTGTTGGGGGGGACGTTGTCGAAGACCTGGGTGGGTGCAGCCGTCGCCACTGGAAATCGCCGCTCGTGGATCTCCTCTTCGTCCGGATTTTTCGGCGCGTAGCTCCCGTGCAATCCCACGTGCTTAACCCTCGCGTCGGGATGCGTCGAGTATTGGAATCCGAGCCCCGAGTCCTGTCGTTTGGAGGTTTCGGAAGCGAGAGAGAGGTAGGCTTGAGAGGGAGCGAGTTGTTGGGATTGAATGACCGAGGGAGCGGAACTGCTTCCGATCCGAACCCTCGCCGCCGACGCGTCGCGATCGGAGCACGGAATCATCGTCGGACCGTTCCACTGGGCATCGGACGAAGAAGGTCTCTGGTCCGGACGACGAGATCCGGCCTGAGTATCGTCGGAGCCGATTCGCGGTCGGCTGCGGTAAACTGGCTCCCGATGAGGAACAGGAGCCTGAAATCGATCCCGTTCCTGCTCCAAGACGGAGAGAAGCTTCTTGCTCAGCGAACGGTTCTCCTCCCTTAGCAACTCGATTTCCTGTTGCATACCCGCGATCTTGGCGTGCACGTTGTTCCTCCCGTGATGGGGATGACTTTCATCGACGGGAGGCGATCGTCCCGAGGAATCCTCATCGGTTCCCGATTCCCCGTTCTCTCGACGTCCCCCAAAACCTTCACGAAACGAGAGATTCACGATGAAGTTCGACTTTGATTTAGGAGGTTGCTGTGTAATCGTATCCTGAAAGACAGCCGTCATTGTTCTTTTTCTTATCGTTGTCGCATCAGAAGCAACCCTCTAAGAAAGATGAGGCGCTTGCTGCGACCATCGGAACGCTTGGAAAAATAATTGTCCACCATTGGAACTCATCAGAAGTTTTATTTTCACTATGGAGACTGCTCTATTAGAGCGTAACATGGATCAAAAGAAACCACATTCTTCTATTTATTGTACAAAAAGTCAAATGTATAGTGCATGTTTTAAAACCATTAGAAAACCTCTGTAATGAACGAACGATATCCCACTGATTCGAAGGGAACGGGGCTGAAAGAGTTCACGAGTTCGCCCGCAGAGTCTTTAGGGCCCCCAACATATAGACTGATCCCTCACGGATCATGGAATATATGATGGGTGTATCAATGAGAGATCGAGGATATAGTTTTACAAGAAAGTGCGGTGAATCATTTGAAAGCTGGGAGAGTTTGAGAACTCGAAAAACCTTCCCGTTCTTGCTGAAATAGCCTAAACCCCGGAGGTGCTTGAAGCAGCCGTACAATAATACAAAGCCGTTGGGATGGAATCATGATCGGTGAAGAACGGTCTCAGAACTCACCAGGCCTGGGGTTCCCGGAAGAAGATCCGGTGAACCTTTTCTTCAGAGGTGCCCGCGATCCGTCCACTCCCTCTGCAATGTCCAACAATGCTCAATGTAGGAATGTGAAAACCAATATCAATGCTTTACCTTTCCTCAACCTCACCCTCACCCCACCAGACCCCCCCACCTTCTCTACGGAACTCACTAACGTTAGGCCTAGGCCTAACCGACGGACTGTCTTCGGGTCAGGCCTAGGTCTACCTTTTTTCGTTCAAAAAAAACTCAATCCTCGGCCTACGGACCAATTAGGCTAATAAGGATTAATCCCACGTCTTCGAGACACCTCGTTGAGGACGTGTAACGTTAGGAAAATTGGCAAGCCTTCTCAGTCTCTCACGGCCCACTTAACAGAGAACGTGTAACATTAGATCGAACGTAGGTCCTTTTCGAGTTTCATGAGCCATTTCAGTGCGGTCGGGGAACATTAGACCTATCCAGAGTTCCTCAAATCGTCTCGACTCATTCTGAGAAGAAAGTGCATTTAGAAAGCATGACAAACGAGCTGGCCGCCATCATGTTAATTTAAGGATTTCCGATGAGATGTCTCCGTATTCCACCAAAATCCATCTGCCACTGCAAACCACCGCTTCAATCTCAGCTCACCCCACGAATTCAGCACAGTAATGTTTCCTAAATTAAAAAGAGATGATCCAGACAACGATACTAAGGTTGAAGAAGTCATGAATTTGACATAACGCCGGCATGATATCCGGCAACACTGCAGGTCGGGACCGGAGCCATTGCACTAAGCCTAAATTAACGGCATCTAATTTCATTTTTTATGGCGAAATGGTACACTGAAAGCAAAAAAGGGGACTTTTGTCACCTCCAGGTCACTGTCACCACCTCCAAGCATCCTCAATTTGAATGTGGTGATAAGTCGAGCCCTGCCGCTGAAAAGACCATTCAATCATACTACGAAAACAAATCGTAAATAAATATCGTGCATTCCTTGCAACAGAAAAGTCGATATTATCCTTCTTCGCTTAGAACAGCGACCTACTATGATGTAAAGTATTTAATGTACCTTCATTCCACCATATTGGAATCCATTACAAAAATAGATTCTTCTGGTCCTGAAATAAATGCGCCTTCTTACTATCCCACCGGTTGAAGTCCGGCGATATATGGGTCGACGATATCGAATCATTAAAACTCCATATCGCCCAGCCTTTCTTACACGTAATTAATTGTCATATCTTTCACAAAGTGTATACATAAGTCATCGTTGCATAAGTTACCAAAATACGCAAGGATATGAGGCGCGCAATATTTTTAAAGCGAATTTTAATTCTTGACACCGTGATGATATTCCACGTTTTTCGGTGATTTAATCAACAAATGTTTTAAAATGCTGTGTTTGCAATTTTTTCGTTCCTCATGATTTCATGCATTACACGAGAGTGAAAACACGGGTAGGACATTAGAAAACAGAATATAGTTGCATCTCGGAGAGCATCCCTGAGATTGCAGCGAAACGCAACGGGGAACACCTGCAGACAGCAAGTCTTTCCTGATTTCATAGAGGCTGATCCTTTCTATTAAAAAATTATGGATCCACATGGGTCGAATGAGTGTGAAAGGGAATTGAATGGGATGAAGTCAAGTCGACGAAGGAAGAAGGTGTGGAAAAGGTGAGGGCAGGTGGGCATGAGGAGCGAATGGTGAAAATTAGCAAATGGACAAAGCCCTTCTTTACCTTTACATCGGATTTTCAATTAAAATGGTCCGTTTTTAATATGTGGTAATGTATGCGATCAGTAAGCCAGCATCTGATGTGACACGGTACCATGGATTTCCCTATGAGCTATTTCCCCGCCCAAGTAAATCCACACAGGTGGATGGATCAGTTTTTTTTTTAAATTATTATTACAAGGAATAAGCGCATAATGTTTACTGAAATTGTGGCACCGGAAACCCGAGGTAGTCTGCGACGATCTATTGCACTGCGTCGCGTCTTATGACCACTTGGTCATTAGACGCAGTGCTCTAGATCGTGGCACAATCGACACAATATTAAGCGTTTTTTATGTGCTTATCGCTTCGATGAAGTCATGGAAGGCTTGCAGGTGTTCCCGTTTTGGCGCTGTCTCGAGGAGCGTCTGTGAGGAGCGATTCGACAATCACCTTAGGCTGCGTAGATTGTCGCAAGATCATGATGTGTATCGATATTTTTCCAATCTGAAATGCACCTGTATATCGTGATATTGTTTTTCAACTTCATATTGGCCCCTCTTAATCCACCCTGGAATTGCTAGACCCACATAAGACAGGCCTGATGAGGGGAAAATACAATTAGGAAAGTTTCGCTCCAGAGAGATCCTCCCGAATCATTCGACGGAGCATTGGAAGGAGGTGGCATGCTTCACCATCTGGCCTACCCATATTTTTCAATGAGACTGGTACGATCGATAGGGGAGAAATGAGACATGGATCACCAGCACTCGATGGCGATACGCTGTGATTCCCTCTAATACAACCATTGTCTTCGCACTCTTTCTCGGAAAATCGAGAAGACCATTCCATTGGAAACGCGCCAGGTCAAAACCAAATCGCTAGCAAGAGACACCAATGCTTCTTTTGCTTCATGTGAAATCGTTATATAGCCATGTTGAACAGCCACTATTATCAACTATCAACTGCCATCGAATGTCCCACCCGCGGGTCATTCCATATGAATTCAACCTGGCACTGCGCTTGACCATCTCGGGTATCGCGATGAAAATTCTCAGCGATTGCTGTCTAACAACCCCGTCAAAAATGGAAAAGCCTTCATCGGATATGCGATTAGCGAGATATCTCGCCCCGAACTTTGGGGAAAACGGAAAAACCCAATTGGCGACAAAATTGTAATATCAGGAACCGTTCTTCGTACGGAGGCGTGCTGAAGTTTCAATCGGAGCACTTTAATATGTGAACAATTTCATTCGTACATCCTTTGAGTTTGAATGAGCCTTCAACATCATTCTTGTGTTTTTAAATGTAAAATGTTGGCGATTTTGACCCCAATGCAGTGAGGGAAAAGACAAAACTCTCCTTACGATAAGTTGCGCTACTTTTTTTTAGGAGCATCAATGAAGAAAGTTATGTTTGACTATTGGTCCTCTGCATAGAGAAAAACTGACCTGAAAATCGGAATTTTCTCATTTTTTAATTATCTTTGATTGAGCATTTTTCTATGAGACAGAGCACTTATGGTATCAAGCTTAGTGTCGTTAGAAAGGTGAGCATGAGATCTTTCCAACGCTATATGATCAAGTGTGTCATTGAAATAATTTTTTTATTCATCAAAGGTTGCATATTCCAAGCATTCACATTTTCTTCAAGTAATGGAATATAGTTTCGTGATATATCGTTAGAAAGGAGTTCTATGCAATGTTATAAGTAAATAGTCATATGCAAGTCATATGCAAACGAATTCAACATTATGAGAACCAAACGTTCGCTCTCCCTAGACCTCCCTGAGTGGCGATTGGCGAGGAACGCGTGTAATTCTATGAAAATCAGCAATTCCACAAATTTAGCCGAACTAAGAGGAACTATGATCGTCTAAAACTCAGAAAAATCTTTCTAGTGATATGGCACACGACTATATTCGGCCACTTGAAGAAAATGTTAATTTTTGGAAAATGCAACTTTCGATAAAGAAATAAATATACTATTCTAAAAAGACGCACCTAATCATATATCGCTGGAAAGATCTCAAGCTCACCTTCCTAACACTATGGTTGACACGGTAATAGTTCCGCCTCATCGAAAAATACTCAGTCAAAGATGAACAAAAAGGAGAAAATTACAATTTTCAGGTCAATTTTTCTCTATGTACACTCTTAGAAAAAGGGGAGCGATTTTTCTCAAAAATGAGAGTAAAATCGCCTACTCCAGTTTCACTCCCCTTTCACTCTGGGAAAGGAGTGAATTTGTTCCATCACCAAGGAGTAACATTGCTCTCCTCCGTGAGTGAAAACGTTCCCCCAGAAAGAGATAGGGAGGTCATGCATATACGGAAACCCTTGTACACATTGTGTCGCTTTCGCTCTTTACAGTACAGGCATTGACCTACCTTTGGCTGTACTGATTACAGTACATGTCAGAGGATGGACCGCCTCTTACGGTTCCATGAAGTGTCCGCGATGTCAGTCCTTCATTTCCTCATTCTCTTAAGTCGAGGAAGTGATAGGATAGATTTCACGGACGTCCCCTATGTATTCTAGATCTCCTCTGCGGATGAAATCGTTATGAGTTTCAAAAAGGTTCTCATCAAGAATATGAGCTTGTTTATGGCCTGGGCTCTTTGAATCTGTCTTGAATATGTAGATAACAAATGATGGAAAGTCCGTGTTTATTGATTCCTATAATGAGACTAGGCGAGACATATGTCGAGGTACAAAACAATCCTGCGAGGGACGATTCCAGGGAAAGAGGGAAGGGAAATTTGGTGTATTGTGCGAAACGCGAGACCCTTACCTTCATCAAGTGGCGTGGCGAAGAACTTCAAGATGTTCACTTCATTACGAGCGATGAGGGAGCATTTGGTGAATAATGAGAGAGTACATTTGAAAAGCTCACAGTGTGCTCACTTTTTCCTCCCTAACCGCTCGGAATTTTCTAAGAGTGGAGCGGACAAAAAGTGAAAACGGTAACTTGCTTTACCGATGCGCCTGAAACAGGAATGCAACTTATTGCAACAAGGGATTTTTCTTTTCCCTCGCCGCATAGGGGTCTTTAGGGTCCAAAATTGCCTAAATTTCATATGTTTAAATTCAAGATTTATGCTGAAGCCTTATTCAAACTCAGTAGAGATGGTCAGAGATGGTCGGGCGCCATTAATTGATATCGGTCGAGTTCGGATGAAATGACCCCCGTTTTTTTGCACTCTCGCATAACTCATAATCAAGTTTCACGTTCTGCCAACGGTCACGAATGTTCACGGCAGATTTCCCTTCTCGACTAGGAATACGATCACCGTTAGTGGTTTCAGCGACACTTGTTTAACGTAGATACTATTATGGACGCAGTATACTGCGTTAAGAGTATACAGCATTTGCATCCATGGGCATTCCCCTCACATCTTCAGACACGCGCATGCCAAACCGCGAGCGTTTATCACTTCCCGTGGAGAAGAAACACTTGAAATCGGAACTTCAAAGACCCCCAGAAATTGAGAAAACTTTTCATGCCTCACGCTAGCTAGTTGGAGGTTTCCTCATCGATTCGGACCTTCCACCGAATCCGTTATAAAACTCTTGCTGATTTCCGCCTTGTTCTGATGTGCGCTCGAATCGGTAAGCAGCTAATCGCTACGTCGTTGCTCGGTTCGTCCTCACACTTTACCTCACGCATCCATAAGTTCCCGTAGTATGTCCTCCGAAACGATCGCGCATTCGATCGGCGATTTCCGGCCCACAGTTCCCGTCCGACGGTTTGAACTCCCATACGAGGTATATTGCACTGGTAGACGTTTTTACGTCGAAGAAGGGTGCCGGTCGCGATCGGGTAATAGCCAACACAAAAATTAAAACTTTTCACCGTTCTCGTTCAGAGTTGCTTCACCAAAGCGACCGATCGCACCGATCAAAATGACTTCGTCTTTCCCAACTCCCGCATGAAGTCCCGGGTTCGGTATGACGAGGTCACCGTTCGGAATCCCTTCTAGGGTCCCATCCACGTCGTAGTCTGACTCGTTCGATCCGTGAACCCGAAAGGCAGACGATTCCCCGATTCGCTCGAATCCGAGGCGGATCAGAGCGACTCGCTCGCCGATCGGATTCCAATCGATCGCTATGTCTGCCCGTCTGTGACTAATAGGTAATCCCCACTACTGCCTGGGCAAACACGGTTGGGTCGACTTCTTTCCAATAGAGGATCCATCCATGAGGTGGAGCGGTGGAACCAGTCGATGCCGAACCGATTATATCTCGTCGATATTAACTAGCCTTTTCCACGAGTTTTGACTCCTTACCGCCCACACTCTTGGAAAATTCCGAGCGTTTAGGGAGTAAAAAGTGAGCACACCGTGAGCTTCTCAAATTTACTCTTATTACTCGCCAAATGCTCCCTCATCGCTCGTATTGAAGTGAACACCTTGAAGTTCTTTGCCAGGCCACTAGATGGAGGTAAGGGTATCGCTTTTCGCACAGTACACAAAAGTTCCCTTCCCTCTGCAGAGGAGATCTAGAATACAAAGAGGGCGTCCGTGAACTTTATTGAACCATACCTCAGCTTAATGAGATAATGGAGGACTGATATCCCGGACACTTCATGGAACCATAAAAGGTGGTCCACCCTCTGACATGTGCTATAATCAGTACAATCAGTGGTAGGTCAACGTCTGTACTATACGAGAGCGAAAGCGACATAAAGTATATACGAAAATTTGCGTATTTGCATGACATCCCTATTTCTTTCTGAGGAGAGCAATTTTACTCCTTGGTGATAGAGCAAATTCGCTCCTTTCCCAGAGTGAAAGGGGAGTGAAACTGGAGTTAGCGATTTTACTCTCATTTTTGAGAAAAATCGCTCCCCTTTTTCTAAGAGTGCAGTGTCGGCAAGTTCCAAGTTCCAATATCCAAAGTCCGTTGAAGTAAAATGACTTGCGGTTCTGATCACCCCGAGCGACGACCGATCCGATATGGAATTCCCTAGTCGAACGATTCGTGTATGCTTTGTTTCTCCCCGATTGGAAACACTCGTATGACGGCCCGACCTGCGAGACAGCGACCTTTCGAATCTTCGTCGTCCATCCTCCTGACATGGACGCTGAAAAAACCTTGGACCCGAAAAAATTCAGCGTATCTTTTCGTACTTAAATGGTAAATAGTGGAGAGTCGTAGGATTCTTATACGCCCCAAGGAACGGCACGACTTAATTATTTCATGCACATCTGTACGTATGCTCGATACATATAATTAAAATATAGCTATGCGTACGTTTCATGCATGTGGGCATCACTAAATTTTTGCTATTGGAAAATGTCCTTCGGGCTATCAGTCGGGATTTCCGTGAGAAAAAAAAAAATCAGGAAACATTTGAAAGGAACACTGCCACGATACCGTTGGGAAGCGCGTAAATCCTTACCGTAACTCCTCTTCCTCTGGGAAACGACGGAAATGTTTCTCTCTTCTTCGGGATAAGATCCCACGATGATGATATCTGGCGACCCCATGGGAGTGCCTCCGTTCCGACTCGCTCCGTCTGCGTGCTCGCTCTCCTCTCGCCTCGAGGGAACGACCTCGGACGGAACCGTCGGTTCCGACAGGCTGGAGATCCTCGTCTGTGGAGACGTGGTCGACGAGGTCGACGTGCACGGCTGCGTCCCGGGACTCTCGTGAGGAGCCAAGTTTTCCGCGTCGTTCGCGATCGTCGACTGGACCGCGAGGGAGAGGGGGTCTTGAGGCAACCGTCTTCCGTCGGAGGACTTCCCGTCCGCGTCCAGAGGACGGATCCCGTCGGTGGGATTCCTTTCTCCGTGGTCCGCGTTCCTCATCGGATCGGCGTATGACGTCATCGACTCCACGTTCGGTGCGAAGTTCGGCCTTTCCTCGACGGGGATTCGTCTTTCGATCGAGGATTTCGTGAAGGGTGACGGTTGGATCGGATGCACTTGGGCTTCACGCACCAGGGCGGTCGGGTAACACGATTCGGGATGCTCCGCGAGTTTCGACGAAGATCTCTCGTCCGGCACGAAAGTCGTTCGACTCGGCTGGCGAGATTGCGTCGTCCTCGAAGGCACGAGGTGTTCGCGGTTCGGAGGTACGATCCGCGGTGCCAGAACGGGACGGAACCCGTTGTAAATTTGGTCCGCTCTCACCTTCCATATTTCCATCTCGCTCAACGCATTGCTTCTCGGCGGGGATGGGAAAGGGCCTCTTCTGGCAGGAATCGATTGGGAAACGAGAGGGCCGGACAGTCGGACGCCATGCATGTATGTCCAGAAGTCTTGACCGGTCGGAGCGGGAATCCAGCGAGGAATCGGAATTCGAGGGGACCGGACGGGATCGTTCGCGTATCTCCTCGGATAGATGTCACGAATGGGAGGGGATATCGGAGGAACGGGACAGCGGATGCCGGTCGGGTCCGGCACGATCGACGCGTTCTGCAGGTCTGCGAACTGAAAGGGGGGCGGCACCGTCAGCTGGATCACGGGAATGTCCTTTCGAGACGTCTCGGCATCGGCTTGCGGATGCGTCGTGGCGCTCCGTGCCGTCGGTGGCAACCCCTCCGGTATCGTCAGCTGGATCACTGGAATGTCCATTCTCGAGATCTGAGCGTCGGCTCGCGGGGAGATCGCGTTCCGTACCGAAGACAGTGGTCCCGCTTCCGGAACCGTCATTTGGATCACGGAGATCTCCTTCTTTGACATCTCGTCGTCGGATTGCGGGCAGAGTGTCGAGATCTGCCCCGAAGATGGTGGTGCTGCTTCCGAAGCACCTCCGGGACCTTTCTCTGACTCGTCTGAGGGAAAGAAACCGAAAGATGAAACATCGATGGAAAGAGACATGCGTCCCCGAGAAATCGGGGCGAAAATGATATCGAGAAAAAGTGGGGAGTTGAGAGTTGAGATCCGGATCATATGCATCAAAGAAGATATCTTGAATCTAATGGAGAAATTTCTTCGAGTTAAAGTTCGCTATGTCGAGCGCCTGCGATATGGCCCAGTGACTGTGTTCCGATTTGCTGATTGGAAACCTCATCGTTATCAAATGGACAATGTTGAATCTTCCACCTATAATTTTTTTTCACACTTTCAGTATACTGTTTTCTGGTATACAAGGTGTAGGGAAAGTCACCCTCTATTTTATAATTGCAATAACTTTCGTAAATTTTGAACGAGAACAATGGTTTTTGTGTTAAAATAAATAAAATTAGATAGTGTTTTATGATGTAATTGATTTGTTTTGCTTGCAGTAACCCTCCAGGGTACCAAAATTGAGTCTTCGACACAGTGCGAAAATAGTTGCACGGCATGAGATGTGGAGGCTGAGAGTGTTGCATCCGAGGCATTCTCCTTTCACCGCCACCACTGGACCAGGAGGGAGGACCTCCACACCTCACCGTAGCGCTTCTTTCGTTGCCCACTAGTTCGACGTTCGAGAGTCTTAGCAAATTCAAACAAATTTCACGAGATTTTGTTATCCTGGAGCACCCGTATCCCCCATTGGAATGTGACCTGGTTCCCTCCTCCAGTGAGTTTCTGCACATTTTTCAGCCGACCTGCAGTCGATGCCTGCACATCTGGATCATGTCGTTATAAGGATACGCAGCGCACTTGTCGTGGCACTCGTGTTTGCATTCCGATCGGCAGATCTGCATCCTTTCGACGTGAGCGGAACTGCGAGAAGAGGAAAATGTCACAGTCTGCCTAGTCCTATGAATAGGATGGATGGCAGGTGGTTTGCGATCGACTTGCTCGAGTGACGCGCCGGGAAATGGATGCAATTCTCACATGCACAATGCATTGCTCTGCAACAGCATCCACCTTTTTTCGGTTTTGGCAATTCACTCGACAACCACCATCGGCAATCAACCCCATTCATCAGACTAGGCACCCTGGTACATCTTCTTTACCTGTTGTTCTTCCCACGATGTCATCATGACGAAGGAACGCAGACCTACCGGTCGAAATGCAATCGCGAGTTCCCAGGCAATTGAATTGCAGACAACTGATTGCCAACAACTGATTGATGACGAACACGCAACGACTGCACACCTGCTAGGAAAAGGGAATACTTTTTTAGGGGGACTACTTTGAAGTGTATCGTGTAACTTTGGAGTGGAGGGTATTGATGCCGCCGCACCACTTTCCATGAACTTTTCGAAAGATTCTAGTAGTAGGATGTATGGACTATATTGTAAAGTTTAGCCACGAGAGACTCGGTATTTCACCTGAATTCCTCCAGCCGAGTTTGGCCCCTTGCTCAGGATCGAGAATACTGGAGGGTGCACGTGTCACAACCTCATTCGATTGGGACAAGCGGCTTCGAGAATCAACGAACGAATGGATGTTCCTTGATGGGTCAGTCGAGCAGAAAATTGATCTTTCAACAATTACCTAGAACTAACGATATTCTCATTTTCTTCTAAAGGATGACCCAATAATGCAACCCCGGAAAAGTGTGTATCTGGCTCTCTCGAGGCGTGCAGAAGCTTCTCAGTCCTCGGGGTTTTGAAACAAGGGTTTTAAAAAATCGATTCTGTCACAGAATTGAGGATCGTAAAAGGCGTAGCATCATTCCAATGTCTACGGGATAGTCTGGACGCACAACAATGGTTTCACCAGTTTAATTAATACTTCTTTCTTCTCAGAGAGAGTGATTTCATGGACACCCTGGGCAAAAAGGAAAGAGGCCAATTTCCTAAGTCATACTCCGCAGCGAAGAGAAGTACTCGTATTACTCGGTCGTTTCTCCCCACCCTCTGTATGAATCGGCAGCTGACTTTACCTATTCATGCCTACCTATTCCACGGAACCGAAAACCAAGGGTGCTAGTGGATCATTTCACGGAAATATCAACCGAAACCATAAAATATGAACTTCAGAAAATCCAGTGAAGTTATATATTTTCTGAAAGCTCAAAGACGCTCATCTTTCACGCTATAACAAGACTGATAGAGTGTGGCTGCGGTGAAGCGTCTTACTGCGAAGAATCTGAAGGTGCATTCGTATGAGATAGGAATGTTTCTTGATTAGGTGTGGTTCGAATGAAATCCTACTGTTGCAATAGTTGAAAATGATTAAAAATTGGGTGGGTTCGAACAAATACATTATCACGTCTCACACAGCACACTTGTTCGTTTTGAAAAGCTCCATCGTTTTTCGCTACTGCCACGAGGATTTGTATCATTTTCGTGTTATGTGAAAAACGTTTTGAGCTTAACTTCATCCTCCTATCAAAACCAGTTATGTTAAAAGATATTGCTGCCATGAAATAACCATCTTTACTGGTGGGATGCCTGAAAATCACATTTTGGCTCGCACTCAAATAGCCACGTTAACAAATTTCCGCTATTCACATACCTCTGGGTGTTCGTTATTCACATAATCTGCGAGAAAATTTCAAATGCTGACCAACACAGCTTTTTCTAAAGAAAATGTTTAGGTGTTATTCATCATATGTAACATATGTATTACGAAGCATGCAAAAAAAATGAACGATCAGAGGCAGGCGACATGGCAGAAAAATAAGAGTGAGGAAAAGGCAAATATTAAGACGAAGCAAAAAGAATGCATGGAGGCACTCAGGGAAAGCGAAAAGAACGAGAAATCATATAAGATGAACCATAATGAGATAACAGACTGGCCCTGGTACGCTCCAGTCAGAGAAAGAAGGCTGTAGCAGGTATGAACTTCTAAAAGTTCATACATCGCGAGATATTCATATGCATCTGAAATTTTACCTTCTTGAAAGGGGGGACTCGCCCAGACCAGTCGTTTTCCTCGTCTCCCTATCCTCCCGGAGAGAAATAGGGGCTAGTAAATGAATTTTACAGGTCACGTCTCCTCGCGCGACAGGGTGGCTCAGTTGATAAAGCACTAATACTTAAACGTTTTTTGTATTTAAATCCTGGTAGCATTCAATTTTTTTCGCGCAATTTAGCCTGAACAACAGAACATACATACCAACCCCATACTCCAGTTGGCCCAGATGGTATTAGTAGACAGTCGTAGTAGTTGTAGAGAGTTCTACTTTGCCTGTAGGAGTATTTTAATTCATATTCCTCCCACAGAGGAGACACAACAAGAGCAAGGGCAAGTATATGCAACGCCGTTGCCTATTAGACGGTTTCGGGAAGGCGAATGCTAAGATGATAAGGTCGTTGCATCATACCCCTTGCAAATAAAATAAAGTAGTGCTTTATTGTATTCTTTGTCTCCCAAAAAGGTAACATTTGAGAATTTGGAATGTCAAAGCGTGTACTCTGGCAATCTCCTGCAATATTCAAGAGTACTGAAGCAAACTAGAATTGAAAGAAAAAGCCAAAAAAATTAATGATAACACTCCATTTGGCGATCCTTCATTTCGTTGAACGGAGTTATGTAAATAACGGTTATGTGAATAACGAGTGTCTTCCTAAGCAAATGCGTCGTAGGCTCTTTGTATCCATATTCTTGAATCCAAAATGTAATATGTTGGAGTGCATAGAATCCTGATCAAGATGACATAGCAAGCAATGAAGTGTGTATGACGAATCAGAAGAAAATCAGTTTATGAAAAGGCCAATATTTTCTAGGTTGATTTTTTTGCTATGTGAATAATGCCATTACATTTAGGGTCTAAAGGGTTCGATTTTGGGAGATAATGAGAATAAACAACTGGACAGCATGCGACGAGAACCCTTCAATAATGGAAAGTGAAAATATGAATGCCTCCTTTGAGCGACATTGCGCTAGGAGTAATTTCATCGACTTTTTCGCTTCCGGAGTTATGTGAATACCAATGAAATTGTTAGAAATGCAATTTAGTGCCTGCCTTCCTGATTTAGTATACGGTTTTCCTCTCATCTTTCCTCTTCTTATTGTGCAATAACAGATGCGAGGAAAGCGTGGAATTATCTAATACTTTAATTCGAAGAGGTCAAAAGCTGTGGTGGTGGTGGTCGTGGCTGTCACCCGCAAAGCGCGGGCCTACGATGCAATGCCATTCTGGGTCATAGGCCAGGCCTATAAGGCTACACCTTTCCAGGCCATCTTATACTTTAATTCGAAGAGCCCGAGAGTTGTGGTGGTGGTTGTCACCCCAGCGCGCAAAGCCAACGCAAAGTGACTATGTCACTTCAGGTTATAGGCTAGGCCATCCACCCCTCAAAGCGCCAGGTCCTAGAGGCTATGCTATTCTAGGCCATAGGCTTGGCCATCCAACGCTTTTAGCGCCAGGTCTATCAGTCTGGCCTACAAGATTAGATCTGGCTGGTCTACAAGATTAGATCTAACCCCTGACCTAAAAGACCATGGGCTAGACCAGCCACCGCCCAGAGCGCCAGGTCCATCGGCTTATATCAGTCTGAGCCATAGACTTCATACTTAGTAACACCCTTTGCTTGAGACAGCTAACTGAATGCGTGTCACGTTTTCACTGATCGACTGCAAGTTCTTCATTTGAATACATTCCTTGCTGGGTTTTTTTTTTCTGTATTTATTTATTTCCGTCAGGTCAGACGTGGCGGTTCGCGCCATCGCTTCCATGCAATAGTTTTCTGTTTGCGTTTCGTGGCCGATTTATTTGAATTCTCATGATTGATGAAGTCAAAATAATAGTCTAAAAAGTCTCTGCTTCATATGTCGCGCAAACGAGGTGCACCTCCCATCAAAATGGTGGCAATTTTTGCGAGGTGAGGTTGAATGCGAAGAAATGTTGACGGACGTCCCACAGGACGGCGATGAGGCAGTTGTTGCTGGTAAAAAACGGTTGGTCTGACGCGAAAACGTTTGCCACTGTAGTTGCAGTGCGAAGTGC